ACACACACTCACACACACACAAAGGATGGCCAGTTCGCCTGAGTCAGGCTTCTTGATATTCCCTGATCGATTTCTTTGAAGACAGACACTCATCCCATATCCCTTGTACAAAAAAAAAAAATGCAATGCCATTCCTGTTGATGTCATCCAAAATGTTTCTCAAGGGCCTTTTCATTGTGGCCCAATCAGCTGTGCCTGCACAGTATCATATGGTTACTCTATATCAGATCACAAGTGTCCTCTGGTGTCGACTTTATAGCCTGTGCACAGTAGTCCACCTCTAACAGGCTCATAAAGGTTCCGAATGTTAACAATGTGCAAAATAGCTTTGACAGCATTATTGGATCTCCCATGCTGCAGCCAAAGCCCTTGGGTCCAACACCACCCCACCCCCAGGTCCAAGCCCACCAGCCTTCTCTTACTCCCCTCAATCCCTGAGGCCCTCTCTCTGGCCCACTTCCTCTTTGCATTACCTCCATCAGGCCGGGCTGCTGACACACTTGTTTAATAATTAAGGGCACGTCCATAATTTCCTCGTCCTTGTGGAAGTCCACAAATGGTCTCTGTGAAACTCAGGCCAGTTAAATGTACCGCTTTACTTCGGGCCACTGACAGCGCTACATCACTGAAGTGATACAGACAGAAAGTTCCCCAGGAGTTACCCACTGATGTCACCGTCTACCAGTTTTTCTAGAGATATACATTCAGCCATCATGTGGCGTCGTGTCTACCGTGACGGCGTTGTTAAAGGAATAGATGACAGACTATATGAAGTATAAACCACTGTCACTACAAAATCACTGTCTGCTTGTCCACTTGTGGTCAGTGTGTAAACGAGAAAAAGTTTTCACTTTTGTTTAGCATGCTTCCATGTTAAAAATGGATGATCAGCACTAAAACAAAGTACAACTGGGAATAGTTTTGCAGGTCATAAAAGTGACACGTATGTTCTCTGAGGTAAACCTCGTGGTGGTGCTAAATGAAAAGTCAGGGGATAACCAGAGTCATTAGGGTTCATTGTCTGGGAACCATGAGTGACTGAATGAAATGTCACAACAGTGCATCCAGGAGTTGTGCAGATATTTAAGTCTGGACTAAAAATGGTGGATCAATTGACCAACCTTTTAAACTCCAGAGCCATGCACACTCTGTTGCCATGCATGGCAAAAAAAAAAGAGAAAGAAAATTACTTTGATTTTTAACTACTGAATCTTTCTAAGCACCCAGCCTTGGCAGAATCTGCTATCAATGCTCAGGGCTGGATATGTCCTTGTGGTATCAGGCGATGCGGATCTCAGTTTACATGCTTCTCCTGCCTGGTGTGCAGTGTCAGCGTGCTTGTCTGGGGGAGAAAATTCAAAACTTAACATCTACGAAACTGCCGCTGTGACCTTCCTGCTTCAATTACATCACCACACGGCGCTCAAGGAGGCTGGCAAATACAAAACCACAGAAGGATATCACCATGAAGCACGAGGGGCCCTGCTGAGACATACACAAC